CCTCCAGCACTGGTCTGGGTTGCCTTGAGTATCTGGGAATGGAACCACTGCTCCCAGAGACTGACTGCCTCGTTTAAGCAGGCACTTAAACAACTGAGCTAATGAGCGGGCCCCCTCTGTGGCTATGTAAAAGACAAAATCAGAAGTCCACAGAGTACAGAACTAGCATCTGTACCTATCCCTATCTTAGAGAGATTTATCTCCTACCAGAGCATACAGTTCAGCAGAAACTAAACATAGAAAAGCATGTAATACTTCTGCACTTAGTGTTCAAAAGCACAAAGTCAAAACTTGCCAAATAATTTTGTGAGTATAAAGACTATAAATAATTGATTTGTTGATCTGGATAAGCCAGCTAATTGTGCCATCACTTACACCAAGAAAACACCAAAGAGTAGATATATCAAAATGTTTGGTGATTTTAGTTTGTCATTAAGTTAGTCTCCTTATTTTTGTCAGTCTAGTTCTTCCTGTGTTATTGACAGCATATCTGTATATACAGACAAATCTAAAATGTCATAAACACACACAGATTAAAGCATATGTGAGATCAAACCACGCTGGGCCACACCACCTCCCTGGGCCTCACCCAGTGCCTGCTGCACAGCAGTTGAAATAATGGTTGAATATTGTTTGAACGAATACATAAAAAATGACTTGCTGAAACGGCCTTCAACTATCACACCTTGGATTGGCTTCATATACATGTCTGGTGTCTTCAATCTACCTGATACATACAACCAAATGTTCCCATAGCACATTAGCATTTTCACTGCTCTTTCACAGATAATATGTTATTGCATTTTTATAATTTTCCTTAAAAAGTTATGGAATGGAAAATAGAGCTTCAATGTAGCAAATATTTCCCAAGGGTTACAAACCCAGTAAATAGCAGAACTAAATTAAAAACTTGCTTTCTCAGTTAGCTTATTTAAGGCGTGGTTTTCATTTTAAACTTTTGAGTCATAGGTTGGGAAAAAGGGAACCCCTGCAACTATGACTCAGAAGGGGCTACTATTTCTAAAGAAGATCTTTTGGTCCCACAGAAAGTCTTCAAGGAATAGAATGTTCACATAGCAAGTAAAAAGTAAATGTCACAGCACAGAGGGAAAGCTGGTCTGACAATGATTATAGGTCAGAGCCCGATGATGCAACTGAAGAAATAAACTGGGACTCACCATAATTTCAAAATTAAAAGTGAGACAGAAATACAAGAAGTAAGCAGCAAGGTCTGTTAGGCTGAAAAAGACAGAAAGGGGTACCTAGGAATTTGAACACCATGACAATCTAGGTTTAAATGCACTTGTTTGAAGTAGGGGATGGAGTGAGTCAATCTTGGCTGAAGCTGCCTCACTAGGAATAGGGAAAGCCACATCTGCTGGGACTCACAGAGACAGAAGGGTGGAAGTGGACCCTTGTTACCTGAGGCAAAGCATACACTGACTCCCCAGGGAAAACCTATGACCTGTCAGTCTGTCTCTGGGTATCAAGGCTTGAAATGCTGTGTAGAGGACCTGGCTGGCTCTGCCAATGAGCTGGAGAAGAGAAAGCCACTCAAGGGACAAGGCCAGCTGTGCTTTAAACAGCCTTAGAGGTTGATGGATAGCAATGCAAAGTAAAAACAGGAAAGTATCCGTAGACAATACGAAAATACTAGTGATTATAATCTTCTCAGAGACAGTAAAATTACTATTCGTAAGTTTGAAGCAAAAAGTAAAATAAGAACATAGAGACATGAAAAAGTAGTACTTGACAATAAAATACAAATTAATTTGTAAAACTGAACAAAAAAGAACATATTCTATACAAAGCACTAATTACAAGAATGTTACTTAAGATATTCCTAAGCAATGTAAATCAATAATATGTCTAAAAGGAAATCCGGAAGATAACATAGAGTGTGCTGAAGATGGTTTATTCAAAGAAATTGGCCCGGTGTTCTAAAACAGAAGAAAGTCACATGTTGTAGGCAAAAAGAGCTCTGCATCTTCTAAGAGATGTAAAATGATAAATTAATCTGGACCTAGTTGCACTGCAGTGAAACTGTTGATCAACAAAGAAAAAAGAAATTCTATAAAAGTTTCCAGAAAAAGTCATAAAACATTGTCACATACGCAAATAATAGTTTTTAAATGATTTTCAAATTGACAATTCTCTAGAGAAAGTTACCAAAGGAAAAGATAGACATGGTTTAAGAAGCACCAAAGTAAAAATTAGAACATAATCACAGGTAAGACAAAAATTAAAAAGATAAGAATATGATTTTATCATCAATATAGTGCATTTTGTTTGAAAATTAAGATAAAACATAATTTACAGCTATTCAAAAAAGAAACAAAAAATCTCCTGATGAGTCTTTTTTTTTTTTTTTTTAAGTTGAGAAGGATTTTTTGGATGGGTGGAGGCTGGCTCAGGCTGCCGTAAGGGCTGGTCTGGAATGGGATGTGGAGTTGGGGATCCAACAGCGGTCCCCTGCGCCTGACTGGGTTTGCCCAAGCAGGCACTTAAGCAACTGAGCTAACCCTCAAGCCCCCGATCAGTCTTATAAATCAATAAAAGGGTTAAAATTGTGGTTTAAAAGTATTAGTACTAGTAAGAACCTCAACCTTGCATGATTCAAATGGTATTCCAAGAATTGTACCAGACAGTAAGAAGAGGGAGGTATCCACAGTTCATTGAAAACAAAAAACAGGGGCCTGCAAAGTAGCTCAGAGGGCTAGAGTGCCTGCTTGGGCAAGCTTAGGCAAGCACAGTGGCCGTGGTTGGATCCCTATTACCACATGCCTGCCAGCCCTGCCCCCAGGTGTGCTGAGCCAGAGACAGAGCCCAGGCCTAGTGGCATACGCCTGTCCTACCAGTGCTGGGGAGGCTAAAAGCAGGAGGATCACCACGATCCGAGCTGCTCAGTGAGACCCTGAAACAACCAAACCCATTTAAAAAAAATAAAAAACAGAAATGTTGGTAGAAAAACTTAAAAAGAAGCCTGAGAAAAAGAACTTATATACTAATCTAACTGAAAAATGAAACTATTTTCAAAAATCATTAAAATAGCAAATCAAAACTGTGAGTATATAAAAAGATTACAAATGAGTTGGATTTATCATAGAAATATGCTTTGTAATAGAAAGTATGGTTAAATATTAGTAAATTTTTTAATGTCATTCATCATACTGACAGATTTAAGTGAATAAATTAGAATGCCATCTTAAGAGATGCATAAAAAGTATTCAGTGTAATTTAACAAACAAGCATTATGAAAGGTACCAGAAAATGTGATACAGAAGTGAAAAGTATGTTCATAGTGATAACTCATTCTCACGGGGAGAAACTGGAAAACTTCTTTCAAAATTAAAGAACAAAATAAAAATTCTTATTATCAGTTCTATTATTCTTATATGGCATTGTATAGCTAGTGTAATATAGCAAGAGAAGTTTTTGAGTGTTATTTTTATAGAAAATTGAAAATAATCTACATATAATTTATTAGAAGTTATGTAGTTTAACAGAAGACTTGACTTGACCAATGACACAAAAAATGCATTTTATATATCTATAAATTGATCATTAACCATAAAAATCATAATCATAAAGTTCATAAGATAGAAAAGACCAAAGCTAACAAAAATGTACAAGAAGACTTGTATGAATAAATTGATCAGAATTTATTGAAAGACTTTAAATAAATGAAGTAAGAAAATGTATTACCATCTAACATCTACTCTCCATATATACACATATATATGTAAAATTTCTAGGATTTATTTCTGAAATTTGATAGTTCGATTCTAAAATTCATATAGATTATCAAAAAAAAAAAAAAATCAAGGGCTGGCCAGATAGCTCAGTAGATAAAAAACCTTCTTAGGCAGGTCCAATCCCCAGCACGTTGTGCCAACCCCGGGGGTGCTGAGGCAGCGAATGAGAGTGGGTGTTGTGGCACATGCCTGTAATCCCAGTGCGTGGGAGGCTGAAAGCAGGAGGATCACTGCTAGTCTGAGCTTAGGGAGACCCTGTACCAAATCATTAAAAAAAAAATCAAAAGAATTAAGAAGTAATATGGCCAAATAAATATCAAGATTTATTATAATCTGAGTTTGTGATTTAAAAACATGATCAATGGATTGTAAAGGGAGCCTGTAGGCAAATTAATGTATATATGAAGTTCACTTTAAAATATAGGTTTCACTACAGGTCATCCACAGGGAAAAGGCACTACATGATAAATAGTACTGGGAGAACTTGGTGTACATATGAAAAATAAATAAAATTAAAAATTTCCCATCACTCATGTATACAAGTATATACATAGGCCAGGGAGATAGCTTGGTGGCTTAAGTACCTGCTTGGCAAGTGTAAGGACTCAGGTTCAATCCCTGATACAGCATGCCATGCTGCCATGCCAGCCACCGAAAGTGGGCATAGTGGCATACACCTGTAATCTCAGCACTGGGGAGGCTGAGACAAGAGGATCACTAAGAATCCAAGTAGCATAGTGAGACCCTGTACCCCTCAAAAAAAGTATATACAAAAAAGTCTGGATGAATTAAGTAATTAAATGTGAAAAAGGAAAACTTTATAACATTTAGAAGAAAAGAAAACATAGATTACCTTTAAAAGTATAATAGAAGCCCTCTCATAAAGGAGGAGTAATATATTCAAAATACTAAGAAATGCTAAGAATGAGAGTAAACACAGGTATAAGTACTAGAAGACAGAAAACACACCCATCACTAGAGCAGTGAGGAGATGTGCTCATTGTTAGCTTTTTCATTCTAACTGGAAATCTAAACATAGAATTTGTATTTTATAATTTTTAAAAATTGATGAAATTCTCTAAAGTCAGCAATAATAGGGTAGATGGGCTTTTAAATGGAAATTTAAAGTATATGAAAGTCTTCAATGTTCTAGAAGAGAGTAAAGGTACTGGAAAATCTCTACAATTATTAGAGAAGAAATAGCTGTGTATATTAAAACCTTGGGCAATGTTCAAAGTGTAGAAATAGCTCTGAGCTATGGAATAACATTTTGTGCAAGTATTTGCTTTAGTCCATGAAATGCAAGCTTTTCTATGCAAAGTCACTAGTTCCCTTTCTACATTCCAGTCTCTTTTAGTGAGAGGATGAAAGTTAAATACTTTTTAGAAGATGTTCATCAAAGCTATCTTTTTTCCAAAAAATAACTCTGCCAGTTTTTAAAACCTAAACATAATATGTGTATTTTTCAATTCCTTATAAATATAATAACAAAACATAGAAGAAGTCCCTTTAAAGTAAAAAAGTGAGACTACCACTATTTATAATGTACCAACAATCCTAGCCAATGCTATAAGTGAAGAAAAATAAATTAAAATAGTTGAACTACAGGACAAAATTTGTATTATCTGTAGATGATATATTTTCTGAATAGAAAACCTAAACAAATGTACAAAACCATTATTTGAATAAAAGCAGAGCCTGACTACAGGATTAAAAAATATATACAAAATCCAATAGCAACAGTAACAAAATTTAAAAGTATCTTATTACAGTAAGAAAAATTGGAGTAGATATAGACAAATTTAATAGCATGTGAAAGAAAACATGAATTATAAAATGCTTTAAAGTATGTAAAAGACCTGAATAAAACAACAAAGATCTCTATTCAAAACAAGAAATGCAAGGTCCTAAAAATTTGAACTGAACTTGTTTAATGCACAAAAGCAATTCAATTTCTATCAACATCTACACAGAAGTTCTTTCCCAAAGAAGTTTTTAAAGGAATTTTCCAAAACTGATTCAAAGCACCAGGCGGATAAGCAAAATGAGGAGAATTCTAAACCTTATGTTAATGAAGAAGAAAATTGGATTTGTTAATGAATTGAACATGGGAGAAGAGAAAGATAGAACAAAAAAAAAAAAAAAGCACAGTGGACTGACCTTCTGGGCTCAATAACTAATCAGTGCATCCTTCACAAGGAAAGCTAATAAATGGCAGCTATTTCTAAACAAAATCCAAGAACGCAACCTGCTTGCAGTAAGCCAAGCAATCTCTACTGAGCGTGGCCACCTCATTGCCACCTACGCGAGCACTAGGATGTTGAGGTCACCTGGCACCAGGGAAGAGATCTACAGGGCTATGACACAGATACACCAGTGAGGGTCTGGACCGCATGGCTCTGGGGACTCTCACCAGCTCAGAAAGTTGAGACTTTTAAGATCTGCCACGAGCTACTCCAGGAGTTTTCACTGATATTCTGCAGCATGGACTATCTCTTAGAAATTTCTACTTCAGAGTTGATAATGTGCTTGCCAAAGAAAATGGATTCAGGGATTAGAGAAAGTTTGAAAAAATTCAGTCTCAGGAATAGAGAAAGTTTGACAATGAGGCAAAAAAAAAATAAGACCCAAAGGACAGTGAAAACATATAGGTCTCAGTTGTGCCTGCTTTATCGTGTGACAATTTGGAAGATAATAAAACACCAGCTCTTCCTCTCTTTTTTTTTTCCACAGATAAGATGTAAATCAGGAGAGATTTCAGGTGCATTCGTGAAAAGTTCTTCAAGTGGAACGCCTTCCTGTTGCCTCTTTGAGCCTTATAGACACACTGAAGGAGGAAGAAAGCGATTTGTACCTGTTTGGAGAATTTGATATTACTGCAAAGGTAATTGTGTGGCTCTTGATAATTTAGAGTCATCATATTTCATCTTCAAGGGCTATCGCAATTCTTCACATAACTCTTTATTCTACTACTCCACATTCAAGGATGAAAAAACGGATCTTATTGTATAAATTGAATTACCTTTAAATCCTGCATCTTTGCTTCAAGTTCTGCTTTCCGGAGAATCACTGTTCCATTAAGAGTCTCTATCCTGTTTAAAGGAGAAAAAAAGGTGAGGGGTAAATAACATGAGTGATTCATTTAAACAAGTGCCACCCTCATTTGTACTACACCTGGAGCACTAAGTATTCTCAAAATAGAACATAACTGTTATATCCTTTATGGGACTTCAAATATGTGGTCAAAGCCAAATGTGACAATTTTAAGAGAGAAAAAAATGGAGGAAAATTCCCCTGAAAGAGTGAATTAAAAGATGCCAGCTAATCTGTAAGCTGTTACTCAGTATATACAAGACTATAGATATGATAACAGTGGTTGCTCTGTGCCAGACTCTGTTCTTGTGGGGACAGACTGGATCTTCCTGTTCATTTGGAAGAATATCAGGTATCTACTATCTGTTGGACTCTAGCCACTGTGCTGCTGACAAAGCATGCAACAAGAAAAGCAACAGGCTTGAGGAACTTAACTCCCCTAAGAGTGGAATCAATGCCCTATTTCTTAAAAGAGGGAAAAAATCATTTTCTCCCTAGGTTTCTGGAAGGCTTTACTTCTGCCAATTGTCCTATAATTTTGGAAAAATAACAAACAGAACCAAAACTACTGTAAATTAACAATTGTCATATGACTCTTCTTGGACCTTTAGACTACAAACTTTAATCCTAGAATTATCAATTGAATAGCGTTCTTTTATTCCTACACAAAACACATTCTAAAAATATAAGAACCGCATCCCGAGCCATTTATTTTGTGAGCCCAAGTTAAAGACCTTTATCCTGACCACTAGAGCATCAATATGAATATGATAGCATATTTCAGCTGTGAATCACAGTGAAGTTTTTTTTTTTTAATATTGGCTCAAATTCCTTCAAGACATGGTTAAGTACAGAGAACAATTTTCCATTTCTAATAACTTTCTATCTGAGGCAGTGAGATGGAAGCAAACCAAAATTCGGTCTGCTTTCTCATTAGCGCAAAATTGATCCCCTGAGCTAGTATAGAGCAGACCCTTGCCAATCTGTGTCACCAGAAATCTTCATGTTGATCCAGCCTGTCCAGCGATGGATATGGTCCTCACCCATGTGGAGCATGCCTTTCTGACTCTTTGCTCACTAGCATTACTGTCAGACTCTGTATGGCTCTTACTTTCTGGATTTAGGTTTTGTTCATTTTGGAGGAAGACTGCTGCTATCTCCTAAACACATAGGAAGCAGAAAACTGAACTCTGTTTTGCACTAGTTGTCTTCAAAGCAATTCACATAAGCACACAAAATACACTTGCAAGAATCACTGAAGAGTGTGCAACTCTTGGCAGCTTACTATGAGCAGCTACAAGTGAAAAAGATGGTAACATCAAGAGCAGAGGAACAATCCAGACCTCTCATTCACTATTTGGGTCACCTTAGCTAAGCCTTCTTTGCCTACCCTCAGGCACATCATCTATAAATAGGAATGAAACTAACCCTGCAAAATAGCTGTGAGCAATGAGTGAAATGATGTAAGATCCATCTCATTCAGTAAAACACCTAAACTCCTTGGCATAACTGATGGACCTATGATCCATTCCCAAGCCAACACTCTGTCTCCATTTCTTACTCTCTTCTCCCTTATCCACCAGCTACCAGTTACAGTGGATTTCTCTCTGCTCCTGGAATGTGCTAAGCCATTTTGAGAGCTCTGAGACCTTTCTCTTCACCTTAAATGCTCTTACAGGAGTTCTGATCATCATCCCTTCTCCCATTTAGTCTCATTGCAACTTCACTTCCTCAGAGAACACTTCAAACACCTGAGCTAAATCATCAACCCTCTTTCTCAATGTTCTCCCCATTCCCCTGTGCATTTTCATCACAGAAGTTATCCATAACTGAGATACTAAATTTCCTTACTTTTTAGCCTTTTGTTAGCTATCTCTTCCTAGTTATTGGAACACTTAGAAGAGTCTTTACTTTTGTTTTCTGAATCTATCCTAGAACAAAAACAGTATTTTCTCAGTAAATATCATTTTAATGAATGAGTGAATTCCATTTTTCACTATGCATTAATTTTTTGTTAGATTCTAGGCATGTTCTGGTGTTTAGCCAAAAGCTGTCTACTTTTATTGTTAGGGCATTCTGGACTCTCTGAATGGGTTTCCCTGTCTGTCTCTCTCATTTAGACTCTTCAAATTTTGTGAAAGGGAAAGGGACCATGAGATGGATGGGAAGATCAAAGGGTACGGAAGGGAGTGAAGAAAGAATTAAGACATGTTACATACACATACAAGAAATGTAGTCTAGTGTACCACAAATATGTATTAATAAAAAAATAAAAGTTCAAAAAAGCCCATGAGCCCATGAGCAAGCCCAAAAAAGTCTAGTTGAGGAGCCCATGTCTTACTGAGTTTGGAATATTGGTGCATGAGAGTATATGTGTTTTAGAGAAGGGAGGGCAGAGCAAACTTTAATAAATAACTTTGTTTCCTAGAAATAGAACAGTAAAGAACAAAAATGAATGGCTTGTAGCATGAAAGGAAAAAAATTCAGCTCTGTGACCTTCCATTTGTTTTAGCAGCAAAATTATATCAGCCCTAAAATTGGACCAGTCTCTCTAAGCCCAAAAAGAATGTATGGCTGTTGAACAAAATTTGACATGAAAAATGTGCTTGTAGATGCTGCTTCTACCACAAAGATCTTGGGGCTATTGATACCACTGACGTGATATATTGACAGTATGTTTCATTCAACCTTAAAAAAAAAAGAAGGAAATGATAAAAATGTTTGCTCCCCCTTGAAAGTTTGAGTCCTGCTGCCTTTGTTATCCCTGAACAAAAGATCTTTTCATCTTTTCAGCAGGTAGAGAGACCATAGCACCTCTGAGTCCCACAAGACTGAACCAGTAATTACCTTAGCAGGTTTCCTGATGCTCTGATCAGGTCAACCACCTGCTTGTGGGAAAAGCCTTCTGTGCTCACACCATTGATATTTGCAAGGACATCACCTGGGAAACACCAAGAAAAATGAAAGTTACATTGATTAAAAATGGTCACTGTCCTGGTTTAACATGAGTGCTCATGTAGGTTGGTTAAGTAACCCCTCCTGATTCATACATGAAACAGACAAGCTCCAAGCCCTAGAAACAGTCAAGAAAATCCAAAGCAGTAACCAGGTCCTGACCCTCAGTATCACTCAGTTTTCCTTCCTTAGCATGAGCAAAGTAGATTACCGGCTTGCAGGCCAGCGCAGTGAGCAGGACTGTCCTCCTGGATTTTGCAGATAAGAGTGCACATTTCCAAGGAGCAAAGGTTCTGGTTCTGGAGTCGGTAGGTCTATAAAGTTTAAGGGAATACAGAGTTACTCTTGGAAAACACTCAAAATATATTTGTCAAAATATAAAATTTTGTCAATTATCATGAAGTGGTTTAATAGATGAATGCAAAGAACAATTTTGAAAGTCTTTCCTGACTATAAATTGCATCAAAGATGCTAGTGTTTTTATTTGATCAACAGCCAACTCCATCCAGAAAACAAACAAACATCTGGCACAAGGATGAGAGTGGCTCAAGATTTTTTATGTTCAAGTCTAAGAGATCACCTGGTGTTATCATTTTTACATAATAAAAAAATTAAATTTCTTATATTCCAAAGGGACAAGACAGTGCTGGACAAAAGCAAAGGAAGAAAGCTTTACGTGGTTCTTGCAAACTAAAATACTCATCACAGAAGAGGATACAATGTATGCACCAGCAAGAGAGATTTACCTACAAGGATTACATTAAATCAGTTCTGCAAGCAGTGATAATCTGTTCTGCATTTATTCAAAAGAACTGTAATTGACCCAATTACTTTCATTTCTGAGCTCTCCACTGTGTCTGCCCCACATTTCCACTGGTTCATCCGTCACAAAACTAAATTAGAAAGAGTTATGCTTCACCTCCTGCCTCACTTTAGCACAAACAGCTTAGTGGTTGCAGGTTTTTGTTTTTCAAATTGTTCACTACACACAGTGTCCCAGTAATCCCAAACAAACACTTTTTCTTTAATGTGTTTGTAATAAGAACGAGTTCCATTTATAATCAAGATCAGGGTTTGGGGGAGATTTGAAGACATCAGATCCCTAAAATCAGCTGCTTTCTGATGTAGAAATTAGTGTCCAGTGGTCATTCCTTTTCATTCTATCACCCCAAGTCAGTCACGTGCAAGTAACTTGGATCTGTCAACCAAAGGGATTTCTTCTCAATTCACAAGGCAGTAGACTTCCTCTATCTTAAAGACAGAAGCACTTTCAAAGATTATGTAATACACTGTCCATGTTATCAGAGCTCTTTGACAGCCTGCCAGAGGCCTCAGTACAGCCCAGATCATTCTAGACATGAAGGATGGTCCAATTTATGGGGTTCATGAACCAAATCTATAACTGGCCCTCTCTGGAAACCACTGCCTTAATCGTTCTAGTTAGTGGTGAGGCTCTCCCCTCTGGTACGTCAAATAGAGGTCATCAAGAGAAGGACAGCACAGAGGAAGGAACTGATTATATAACAGGCACCTGCATCTGTCCACATAGTTATAAATTTGGTATTAGAGAGAAGAAAAACAGAAGCCCCATAGTTACAGAGAGAAGTATTTAGTGTAGGCTTCTCATAAGGGGTGTAAAACTAGCACCCATGGAGAAACAGAGAGGAGAGTGGATCTGGTCTCTTCTAGCATGTCACTCATCTGATTGACTAGGACATAAATATGAATTCACATACGATGCACAATATGAATACATGAACTCTAATCTGGTCTGTAAAAAGTCCCCCAAAACATTCACGCTATTTGTTGACTTCCTGCTTCGCTGATTGAATACACACGAGCTATGAAGCATTAGCTCATGCTAGTCTAGAAGGGCGTAATGTTCTGTGGCCTGTTGCATTTCTTGTTTTTAGCGGCAACTGCTACACATCTCTGAGACTTACTCTCCTTTAAAAAGAAGCAATCAGAATTCATCTGCAACAAGATGGTGTCTTACATGAACTGGGAATGGAGGTAAAGTTCTACAATCTGAAAGATTTTTACCAATTACTGTGGCAAATCATGAATTTCACCCAATCTAAAAGCAGTAGAGCTCAAAAAGGAGAAGTAATCTTCTATCTCCCTATAGCCTTCTCCTGGTTCATATTGGTTTTTTTTCTTTACTCATAAAACATGTTATACTTAGCAGCTTCCTGTCCCTGATCTTAAAATAAACACTGAGTTTCTAACTGTGGGCTGATATCACACCAAAGGCCTCTGCAAGCAGCACAAAACTTAATCTCAAGTGTAGTATAAGAATATGATTATGTAAAACACATCTAAAATGAATGCATGTTACAGAAAAAAAAATATTTAAAGGATTACTTTGCACTCTAATTAAATTAGAATTCATTTGACCTAATTCACTATCTTTACAAATATACTCATGAAAACACAGTTAATAAGAGATGAAACTGTTAGGTGTCTACATGGACACCCATAAAGACTGTTAAAAATTTCATACATCATTAAGCAATCTTCAAGTAGAGCCAAGTTTTAAGTGTTTCAAATAATAATTATAAAATATCATCATTAGAAATAGAGGTAAAAATTTCTCATTAGAATGATAATTACTGTCCTGTATGAAAAGTAACTGCACCTATAAATGAACACATATATTCCATATACATAGTTTTAAATATTTCTTAAATACTAAAGCTTTAGAGCTATTATATGGCATCATAACGTAAATATACAAAGTACATCCAAAATGCAAGCATGTAAAATTGCACATCTATAAAAACTGTTTAACTCTCCTAAGACCTGGTTGAGATCAATCATTTCCAACCAGTCTGTGCCTCATGACTGAAAGGCAACTTAGCACAAGGAGCTGAGACTACCCCAGTAGTAATATTTTATCAGCATCACTGTTTGCTTTCCTTCAACCCGGTGGCAAACTACTCTAAGCCTCTACACTGAATGAAGTTCACAATCTCCATCACTCACTAATGCTAATTCATCATCCTTTCAGTATTCCAACTATTTTCCTTGGAAGTCTGGAAGATGTGAAAACTGCCAACCTGAATTTCAAATCCAAATGTTCCATTGTCCGGCTTTTCCACAGTTACAAGCTTTCTGTAATGGAAAAATAAAATTATTAAACTGCATGAAAAATAAGGTATCACATTTGGCACACATATATCATTTAAAAAAAACTATCACAATTAAAAATATCTAATGTTTATGTATAAAGATTGATCAGAATTACAGTGAGTGCTTAATTTTTTTTAGTTTATTACAATAAAAGACACATTGCCATAAATCTCCCTAAAAATAATCCCCTTGCTTGCCATTCACTTATCCTGTCATTCTTGCCAGCTTCTGAAGCATTTCTAGAAGTCTCTTTCATAACTGTCTTTATGATATGTGATTAAAATTATAGTAAATGCTACTGCCAAGTGCCATCCAATGGAAAGGTGGGCTCGTAAAAGTGTTACAGTTTGTCCCCATCTACCTTGTTCACCAGATCTGGCACCATGCTAATTCTAGTTCTTCTCAAAACAAAATGTCCATGAAAGACAAAAGTTTTGAATAGATTCAGCACACTGAGACAGCCACATCTGCACAAATAAAGACCCAGAAGATTCCAGGTCTGTTCCAGGAAGTTACTATTCCAGGAAGAACAGTAGGATCCGTGTGTTGGAACTGAGGTGGAATATTTTGAGAATTAATAGCAATGTATCTTTTACTGTAATACACTTTCAAATTTTCAATATTTACTTTACTTTTATCATACTTAATAAATTATAGTGTGTATGTGTAAGTATTATCAATAGTCTGGGGAGCTTTCTTGGTTTAAAAAAAAAGAATAAGTGAATTTTTTTACCTTTGAGACCAGCAAAAATCACCCAAAGAACTTGATCTAGTCAAAGCAAGCTAAAAAAATAATAAAAGTACACAGTTATTTCAAGGTCCTTCAGATATATCTACAAACTATTGTAAGTCACAAAAGACTTGGTTCTTCATCACTTTCCTTGGCTCAGCTCCTGGAAAGTTTCTACATAAAGGCAGTAATTCCCATTTTCTAGTGATAGCAAAGAGGCAGAGTTGGCCACAGGAACTTTCAGGCATTTAGCTGGAAGTTAGGTTAGGAAAGCACTGGTTGTAGGGAACTGTGGCAGAAGAGTTCATGCAATGCGCCAGACCCCAGGGTTTTCAAAGAACACTTCATTTCCAGTCTGCATTAAAAAGAGCCTCTGAAGATGAACCACAATAACTTACCATCGCACTGAATTCCAAAGAAAGTGACATCCATGGAATTGCATGAAACCCAGGTACTCAAATACCTAATAGCTTTTGGAGTTTCTCATGAAATGACTGTATTTATTGTAATAGTTCAATGTTCCTGATTTTAGCAGGATAAAATAATCTCTCCAGAACCAGCACACATACATAAGCATAATTCAGGTGAAACTAAGGACTCAAAACCTCAACTTTGTTTATGATTTGTTTTTGCAGTAGCTATATAAGGATGGAATGAGATTTTCAGGCAAGAAAATAAAGGCTCTAAGAATGATCCCAATAGTATAACTAATATCATCTTCACCAGATGCACATTTTAGATAAAATCATACAAACATAAACAATCAGTGTGCCATCTACCATTGTACATAGAAAAGAAGTCAACACAAGACAGACCCTTGTTATTTAGGGTATTGTTTGTAGATGCTTTTGTTTTGTTTGTCTAAGAAATGTTATTTAGCCCTTCTTTGAATGCTGCTCAAGGGCCCTTAACATAAGCTTGTACTACTAGCTAAATCATGATTTGTTTTTGTTTTGTTGTGGTTTGGGAATTTTTTTAATCATTTATTTATTTGATACAGGGTCACCCTACACAGCTCAGACTCTAGTGATCTTCCTGCCTCAGCCTCCCCAGTGCTGGGATTATAGGAGTAAACCCCAGGCCTGGTTTCAAGTCTGGTAGGGCTTGCCTGGGGTTCTGGGACTGACACGGCATTGGGTGCCAGGGAAGAACCCAGGTCCTCAAGTTTGCCAGGCAGGTTCTTAGACCACTGAGCTATCTCCTCATCCTCTAAATCACAGTGTTTAACTGTCAGCTTAACATGGTTAGTATAGGTAATCAAAATATGTAGTAACAGATCCATACATAGTCCAAATGAATAAAAATAAAATTAGAGAATAAAAATCAGAAGTAGAAAAATGCACAGAAGAAAAAAATGCAGATGTGATGAGTTACACAGAAGCCTACACAGAATTTGAATTACCAGGTACCAAATGCCAGCAATCTCACAAATTTTCTAGGATGTCCTATTATTAAGACTTCGCCATGCTGGGGAGTTAGCTCAGTGGTACACGAACTTGCCTTGCAAGCACAAGGTCCTAAGTTCAATTCCAGATGCCAAAAAGAAAAAAAAAAAAAAAGAGTTCAGCCAAATTTCAGTGAAGTTAATTTAATTGGAAAGGTGAGCTCATGTGACAGACGTGACATAAAGTAACCATGTTTCTTGCTTTTGTCAGTTGCAGGTCGAAATTCATTAATATCACCTTGAATACTGAAACAGACCCAAAAGCATTCTCTAGACTTGTTAAGAGCATCCACTTTTGCTTTATCAGGACTAACTAGGGCTATTTTAAGGTTTATGTCAATATACCTTGGTACCTTATATGTGTAAGCAAGGATGGGGACTATTCAGTTACTTTAGTAGACTGTCTTTTTGTGAAAGAGAGCAATAAAATCATGTTCTGGAGCATGCTTAATCCTGGCATTCTATTGTGTTCATGTGTTCTTTTGTCTCTTTTCATCATTGACATCTGGCTTTTCCTTCATCCTTAATTCAAACTGTAAGATCCTTAGTTCAGCCTATTTAATTATGTCATATACAATAATGACCAGGGTTTATATTTTAAGATATTATTCTTATAATCAGTATTTATTCTGTTATTCAAATATTCATAAATATGGAGTTCTATATGTATACATACATTGCATATTTATATGAAAGGCATATTTGATCAAATACTTTACTTTTGTACATATTCATGTGTATGCTTCGGGCTTCTTCGGAATGTCTGTTTTATATTTTACCTCAGGGCCTACCACGGGTCCTAGAACAGTGTGGGAACATAAAAAGTGTAAGACAGACAGACAGAAATAAAGTGCTAAGCAACAACCGAAGCAAGTGAATGGTGATGGGAGACCCAAGTTCAGGTATTCAAGTTTGGAGAAAAAAAATATATGCTAAGACATTCTTTAACTTTGTTCTTCTGTAAGTTATACATTCTTAGGAAAAACAAAGTAATCACAAAAACGCTTAAATCTCAACAGATTTGAACATATAAAAATGAAAGGAAAGAAACAGAAAAGGGAAAAATATACAAAAATAACAACTAGAAAAAAGACAAAGAGAAAAAAAAAAGTAAGCTAAGTTCATGACTATTAAATGAATAAATGATGGCATGAATTAAGAAATTGTTATTAACATTTTTAGTCTTGGCTATTTAAATGACATTTTCCTAAACCTACAATTAACAATGATAGAGATTCTACATTTCTTCCAATTTTTCTTCTAAATAAAGGTCACTTCTATAGTTTTAAATCTAAAGTATTTAAATCCTTAAAAGTGATCAGAGTCCTCTAGGGGTAAGAAAATGTCCTTCTCTTTTACCTTGTAACCTTTCTATCTAACTAACTGACTAAAGATGAAAATATTTTCCTAACAACATGAGAAATAATGTAGATATTCAGCTCTTTGGCATGACTCATTTGATTTATCAGTAACAAAAACATCAGGCAAGGTCAAATTACAAATTGCTTTCCATTCTGCGTCAGCCGCAAAGTTACTTTTGACATCTAATATATAATTAAAAGAAATTTAAATAAATTAGGCATCATCAAGTTATTTGACATGGGCCATATCTTGACACATAAACTCTTTGCTTTTGATCTGGGCTGTCAGACTGAGGTGACCCAAATATCCTCAGGATTCAGCTTAGCTCACCCACAAGACTACGGTGCCTAATGACAAGAAGTGTGTATGTGGTCTTCTTAAAGGTCTTGCACTTTAGAAGTTTATCCTAAGGTGAGCGATACTATCTAAAAATGAGACCAGAGGAGTTAATATTCCCCTGACAACCCTCCCAGCCACAGCCTTTTCTCGGAGCTCTGGTGCTGGCACCAAAAAGCATGAATGAGGAACTGGTGTGCAGTTCCCAGCATATGCTGGCAACAGCTGTCTTTTATTACACATTATCTAATATGAGAAATCTAGGTTTGCAATTTGGCAGACTTGCAAACTACACATTCAGTTACGACTGCTGAATAGACAAAGCTCCTTAACTCCTCTCTAGCCACTAAATATAATGATGGCTGAGGTTGAATTTAGGACTGTTCTGTTTTTACTCAGATGACATAAAAGAATGGGCATTAATATTCAAAATGTAATTTCTCCTGCTAAGCAAGGGATTCCCAAGTCTCTCTTAGGGAGAAACCAAGACCCAGCATTTCTCCCGTCAGTTTGCAGAAGTTAGGGAAATTTGTAGCAAAGCCAGAGAGTTAGCTGGCCTTGGAGAAGCTCCAAGTTCAAAACTGGAGCTTTTTCTGATGCTGAGTTGCACAGTGACTTCCTTGTTCCCATTCTGTGTACACATTTACAGAAAGAGCTGGAGGTGGGAAAGGGGACTATGCTGTCTCCCAGGGTGGGGCAGGGTGATAGTGGGCAGGGTGTGACGGGGCGGAGTGGGGGAGTGGTTTTTTTAATTTTTTAAAATTGTTTCAAATGCCTCAAAATTCACTGCTCTGCCCTCCCTGCCTCACCTTCACTCTCCATCTGACCCATGGTCGGAGCCCTCCCCCACTCTAAGTGAGGCACACTCAGATGGTTCGTCTCCCAGACTATTCAGAAACAGCAAAATGATGCAGTCAGACTCAATTCCTCATGTTGAAAATTCCTTAAAGAACTTACATAGAACATTGTCCCTTCCCAAGAAGGACTACTCATAGGTATGTGGGCCTCTTTTTCAAGAAAACTTGTCAGATATTGCCCTAAGCATGCCACTCTGTAATTGAAAGAATATTTTTCAAGTTGCTTTGGAATGAAGTGGACACAGTTTTCTACCCAAAACATGATGACGTGGTCAAAGCCTTTGATCTAGGTAGGACACCCTTGGTAGGTACAGAGCCTGGATGTGCTAAAATCAGAGAAAGACCCTGTAGACCAAAACCCAACCAAAAATATCCCTGGCACAAACTTTAGAACAAATTTCATATTTGAATTCATCTGTGCAGTCAGCCTTCCAGGAGCTGCCTATTCAGTAATAACTGCATCATAGAAAAAAAAAAAATAGGAGAGGAGAGTAGATTAGTGGCACCACCAGTACACAGGTGAACTTCATACCTGTGAGTCAGGTTTCTGCTTCTCATTCCAGCAGTTAATGAAAACTACTTTCCAAAAGCAACCTACCCCTCATGAAGTGGGTAGTCAGACACAGGTGCTACTTTTCTGGCTTCATCACATTTTAAAAGACTGTCCTTATTTCCTTCTATCTCTTTCCTACAATTTTCAATTGTAGAAATTCTCTCTCCTAAGACTATACTTAAAATGAGTCCTTCTGAAATGTCCAGCATTTTCTACAAATGCAGCTATTGAAATAATATTCACACTCAGAAATCCATTTTTAAACAATTTTCAGTGTAAACACCCAACTGTTTCTGAGGAGTAATGTGAAACTAGAGAATAACCAGATAGAGCTTTGCAGAAACCAAAGCCAGCAATAACGAGAAGTATGAATCATTGACGTCAATCCTCGAAGTGCTGAAAATAACAGGAGGCAGAAGCACACCTGCTTGTAGGATTGCCTCGCAGGGATCCTGTTGCCTGCCATTCAGTCTATGCCAAAAGGGTGATTATTTTCCAAAATTCAGTTATAGGAAGTGAATGTCCATTTGGAACGAAATGTGATAAACTTGAATTAAGTTTCATTGATGATGATTGCATCGAATCAGAAGTATCATGTTTAAAGAGTTTTCCCTTGCTTTTATAAAAGAAATTTTTACATCAGGCAGTAGAGAAATCTATCAGTTGATTTAATGTGAGAGAAAGAAGAACTAAAAGAGGTAACTGCTTAAATTCACTAGTATGAGATGTTTGTGTACATGTTTGCATGTATGTGTCTGCTACCTGTATGCACACATATTTCATATGCCTGAATTTTTCTTATTGTCTTCCTTTAACAATCAGCTTCTCCTACTAAATAACTTTGTAACTCACACCAACTTCAGTTAGGCTTACAACCTCCATCCTCACTGCCTGTGATACTCAAATCTCTCTGTTTCATTTCCATTGCTTCATTTCCTTTTTCTCCAACTACTGCAAAAGTTCCTCCCTCAACAGTAGGCTTCACTCACCAATGCAGCCCATTTCTCAAATAAGGTTCAATATTTCTACGGGATCTATTTCAAATGGATCCAGTGGCCCTTTGTGCTGGTCAAATTAGTCAGCTCTCTGTACCCTCAACAACTGTATCCGTTGATTCAAACAACCACACATTGAAAATAATCAATTGACAAAGATTTTATCTTATAGATAAAATAAGAAACTCATACTAATACGTACAGACATTCTTGCCATTATTCTAAACAATTAAATTGGGTGACTATATGATAACACTCACATCATATTAGACATTCAATGCTGTCTAGACATGGCTTAAGAGTACCCAAGATGATGCGTGCAGTTTATATGCAGGCACCAGGCTATGTTGTAATAGTCTTGAGCATCCATGCATTTTTTACTATCCTTGCAGGGTCCTGGCACTGACCCCTTGTAGATCCCAAAGAAACTGTCTGCTTTCTCTAGGGAAGCTGCTCAAATTTTTTTCAAAGCAACCTGCTCTGGAGTCTCCTCTCACCTCCTACACATGCACTGGGTCTTCCTGACACACCATTGTGCTCTTATACCCAGGAGCACCAGGTACTAAGCTCAGCATTAATTACTCCCCTGCTCTGGAATACTAAAGAGACTTCAAAGTTATATTCAAAAACCAGGTTACTTAGAAGTGGGTATTTATATCCTTTTATGTGCTCATACTGCCTCCTGAATTATAAACTCTCTCTCTCTCTCTCTCTCTCTCTCTCTCTCTCTCTCTCTCTCTCTCTTCCTTCTCCCCATGGGAAACGTGCTCTTCCAATCTTCTACCTCCTAAAAGAAGCAGGATGTCTAATGTGTTGTAGGTGCTCTGAAACTGTCTTTTCCACTGAAATGCCAAAATGTAGAAGTAGATAAAATGAGTAAAGTTTCAGTTGCAGAGGACAGCATGAAAAGTTCCCACCCTGATTCAAAACTTAAAATATTGCTTGAGTAATAGCTATTTTACCAAAACAATGAAATCATAGCTTTACCAAATGAGCCATATTTACTCTGATAGCTTTTTGAAAAATAGAAAGCAGAGTGACTGCCCTATATCTCAAAACAATAAAGATGTTGGTATTTCTCATGCGACTTTGTTTTCAGACAGGCTGTAAGTTGGTAGAAATGTTCATCATTATGTCAAACTTTTGAACATAAATTTACTTTGGATTCAGAAATATCAATACCCTAAAATATGGCAAATTATGTTCTTATTTTAAGTGTGGAAACTATTAATGAGGCAGCCTTATAAATCACTGAAAAATTACTATAGATCTCTAGTCTTAAAATCAGAAGGATTCAGAGGAGCACCTGATATACACCCAAAACTTCAGGGCAAAATTCATCTTTTAAAGCAATTCTAAATGTTTTCTGAATATGTGCTGTATCTAAAGTCAAATCTACACTTAGAATTGATACAGGTATGTAATCAAGAACTAAAGAGGTAGTATGGTTTGCTTTTTGCATAGAAATTGAAAAGTAAAATCTGAATAAATTTAGTTATATATGGATTTCTTTTCAATGTGCTCTCCCCCCCCCCAGAGAAATACTGTGCAATAAATTTTTAAAGTAACATAATGTAGCCTTTGCTGACCACATGCTGCCTGTCGGTCCTGGCATTAGACACTGCGTATTTCCACATTTGAGCTGTGTGCGAGCCCAACAAGGGTGCTTCTATTATTGTCTTCATTTTAGATAAAAGGAAACTGAATGTTAAAAAGACAAGTGACTTACTCAGGACCCCACAGCTAGCAAGTGGCTTGGTGCTCCCTCTGGCACACATCCATCCAAAACATTCCTGATCCAGGAGCAAGAGGTGTTGGCTACTGTCAGCAAAATTTGCCCTCGAGGAAAAGTATTTTCTCTGGACTAAGAATTAAAATGACCATCAAAGCCAGAGAGTGCAGGTGGGAAGAAAAGAAGCAATGAGAATAAGGGGAGAAAAAGATCAATGATTCTCATGTAAGCCATCTGTATTTATGTTATGTGCAGCAATTTTCATTTTACCTGAGCACCTCTTTAAATGAGAAAGACAACTGAGTTTTGCCTTGTTAAAAAGAAAAACGTGTGTTTGATGCTAGTGTCAAATCTCTGGACTGATCCACTGGTTTCCAGCATCTCTCCCCCTTCCCTCCACTCCCAGCGACTAAGTCCAAATCTCTAAAGTAACATTTTTTTACCTTGAAGTCAGACAGACACCACTCTGGTCTCAAGAGAACATGAGTACGAAATAGCAAGCATACCTGCTTCCGTCCCCGAGGCAGAGTCGCCACTGTGTCTGCCAGCACTTGAATCCTCCTGTTGTCGTCCATCGTGAGACTGCTCAAGAGTGAGGGTAAGGAGCTATATGCAGGACCAGGGCAGTAGTCCACCAAGTTGCCATTGCTGCTCTGCTGCAGAAGCCTTTGCAAAGACATCGTGAGGCAAGATTACTCCATCTGGCACATGGTTGAGTGGCCTTGCAGGAGTGGGGAGCTAAATGCACACCGCTCTGACGGGGATCAGAAGTAGCAGAGCAGAAAGAGCCCACGTGACTTCTGTGGTTTGAGGTACTTGTTACACAAACGCTATCTTTCAGTTCGCCCTCTTTACTCACTGCTAAAAAAAAAAAGAACAACTCCTGAGGGAAACTCAAGTTAATTTTTTACAATTAAAAAAAATCGGTTTTTTTCTCCCTCCAACAGCCAGAACTTATATACTTTTATGCTTCATGGCTATTTATGTTCAAAATACCATCTGCCATTTTTTTAAGGAAAAAAATAAAACCACACAACTTCCCCAGTTCTGCCATTTATTTCCCATCCATTTTCTTATTTAACATTAGCAGTGTGAGGCAGAAGCCAGGATGTGCCAACGGTTTCTGTGACTAT